TACAAACTGAGTAGAGAAAAGTAATATTTGTATAACTCAGTGTTCATATAAAAGTATTTGTTTCGAAAGTATTTTTCATTCCTGTAATTCAATGTTTATATGAAAGTAGATGTTTCAGGGGAGCTTTTTCTTCCAGTTTGTGTCTTGAAGTTACTCCTTTACATGATCTACACATCTTTGTCTAGAGTTACTTTTTCGAAAGTGATTGCTTTCTTTCTTCGGAAGATTCCTCTTTTTGTATGAAGATCTAGAAGTAGAAAGCCAAAACCTTTCTTTCCTAATTATATAATATACTCGTACTAAAATGTAACGAAACATGTATTTTGAGCATAGCACACTATACCATCGTATGTAGAAATTGGATAGCTATTTAGTTGGAAACGATATTATTACTTTTATGAATTTTTCAATACGTTGGTTATCTTGAACATGTAATGCACATTTCACTCGTAATTGCCCGTTATACCATACAACGGGGAATGTTCCTCAATTTGGGTTATTACAGCAAATGCAAGTTTGAACAAAATAAAGTTGACTTCAATTCATGAGTATTTCAAATTCACTTCGAAAAGTATTCAAATTAATGTTTCATTCATTTTTGAAGGGATTTGTTTATAATTCACATATTGGCAACAGCGCCTAGAATGCTAGATCGGAGTTCAGGTTAGTAGTATGCTAGAAGAAGAAGAATCATGTCAATAGTGTCAAATTAAGGCAAAATATAAATTATAGTTCAATACCACCTCCACAAGCCACATAAACAACAGTTGTTTTGTTATTTATTTATATAGAGGAAGATAAGTTAGGTGCACAAAATGTCATATGTCACAGAATGTCTCGGAACTGAAACCAAAAATAACGGAGTTATACGCCCTTTGCAATTTTCGTGAAATCAGAAATTGAAATAAAATAATAGATATCGGCTGCAATATCTATTGTTCACATAATTGTAAAAAAATTAATTGAATGTTCGGATACATATCCTGGTTCAATACATTTTTGGGCAAAGCCTAAAACATTTCTTGTAACCTTTGAAACGGCACGATCATCGATGTTTCAAAAATTAATAAATATAGTTATTATGACTTTCTACTTCTCCATCTTTATATTTTATATCTATTTTTTGGAATTGATTACATCTTTTTTTTTCTTGAAAGATTTCCATATTTTTATGTATGAAGATGAAGAAGTAGAAATCCAAAAACTTTCTTTCCCAAAAATATATAATATTGCGATGAGTGGAAGAACAACTTTTTTAGATTAGATACGTTTTCATTTAAATTACATTGATAGGAACATTATGATATTTCCGTTAAATTCAATATGAATTAGATAATTGAACATATTCAATTTAGAACACATTGAAAAAATAACTTGCATTTATATATCGATCATACCGAAGAAATGAAAATTGCGGGATTGCATGAATAAAAAATCACTCACTTTCAATAGGGGTAGTCTTCAGTAAATTCTCATTCATTGAAAACCAGGAATAGGAAAAATGGACATTCACAAACACATATCACCCCTAACACTGAGTGAGTGCCGCTCACATCAAACTCTACAATTATGCAACCAGGTGGGAAGGACTGCCGAATATACAGTGTCTTTAATTTGTTACCGTTGTAGATACACACGACTTATTTTCGGTTGGTGGGAGAGAATCATTGATTTATTCTCATTTCGTTCATTTTAGACTGTTCATTATTGTATATTGCAGAGGTTTCCAATCTTGTTTGTTTGCGGCTCCTTAAATAATCGGATTTTTTTCGCGGCGCCCTTTATGGATTAGTTTTTTAAAAAAAATTTGACTTTCATGAAAAATTGGAAAACTATGGGATGCGGATTGGAAAAAATGAATGAAATAATCGAAAGTTGCTGAATTCTTTGAATTTTTTCAGCATACGCTGTCTGTTGAAAAAATAACGTGAATTCTCATTTTTCTCAACAAATATTTATTCATTCATCAATTTTTATTTTGTCCTCTTCAAAATGGTTTCCTTCAGATACAGTACACTTCTGTCAACGTTTTTCCCCATCCTTGAAGCAGTTCTGATGCGTATTGTTTGGTATGCCCTTGAGCTCTCCAGGCGATTCGTTTTTTTATCTTCTCATTCGTCGCAAAGCGACGCGACGTTCTTTCATGGGTGAGGCATGTTTACGGTGTTGTTTTTGACTAAAAATTACGAACAAGCAATGACAAGTGGGAAGGTGGATTATCGTGATGCAAAATCCATGAATTGTTTTCGCACAATACCGAACGTTTTCTTCGGGTTGTTTTTCGCAAGCGGCGCATAACTTCAAGGTAATACTCCAGTGAGCAAAATCTTGACATTTGTTGAAACTTGGCGTGCTTTTTTGACCTTGGCTCTCCTGGGCTTCTCCAATGGGACGATTGGACATTGGTTTTGATGTCATAATCATATACCCAAGATTCGTCACCAGTAATGCCCCTTTTGAGCAAATTTGGATCGCCGTTGACTCCATTCAACAATAACTGAGCGGTAGTAATGCGATTTTTTATTTGTCAAAAGTCAGCAATTTTTGAACGAACTTCGCTGACACACGCTCCAATAATGGCGTGACATGAACCAACGACATCATCAGCAACTTGCCTAATAATGATTCGACAATTCTCCATAATGATTTTCCTCTCTTTTTCAACATTTTCACCGGTTGTTGATGTAATGGAGCGTCGTCATTGACATGTTCTCGACCCTCTGTACCACTTGTTAACATTTTTTTGACTCAGAGTACAATCAACCTATGTCACTGTCAACATTTCAAGTGTTTTTGAGCATTCAATTCCGTTTTTTACACCAAATTATAAATAAATTATACATAAATTTTTCGATCTATTGTTTTGATAGCAGAAAATCGACGAACCCGTAACTTTTATGCCTCTCACCAACAATGTTGAAAATGCTAAACAGTCATTACTGTGAATATATATTCGAGACGAGTGTAGCCTGCGAAATTTGAACATTCACTATGTTTTTGGTACAGTGCACGTATACGACTGTTGTCGCAAAAAAATTGCCGAATTTTTTCATTGAATATTTCGCGGCGCCCGAATAACGGCTTTTAGGCGCCCCAGAGAACCGCGACGTGCACATTCTATTTTGAAGTAATCGACGGCACTTGTTAACAGTAGAGGTCCGATTCTGCTCCACGACAACGCCCGTCAGCACGTTTCACAAATCGCCGTCCTGAAATTGAGCGTTGTAGTTCTGCTTCACCCACCATACTCCCAGACCTCTCGTCAACCGACTATCATCTTTTCAAGCACTTCGATAACTGTCTCTCCGGTAGAACGTTCGCCAATCAGGACTAGGCAAAAACGGCTTCAATCGACTTCATCGAATCCAAAGCATTCAAGTTTTATGCTGATGTTGGCAAAAACATTGATTCAAATGGCGCTTATTTCGATTGAATTGAATAAGTATTCACTGAGATGTTATAGTTTAAAGTAGACTTATAAATGCGGACAATAATTTTGAAACAGACTAATATATATGAAAATTTCAATGAATGTGCAGCAAGAAGGTATACTGGCACATCCTGAAAAAATTGAACTTGAGAAGAATCCAAATTTTACTGAAACTGTCGACCCGAACCGTCTTTGCACAGATATAGCCGAACATGCTCTCAACAAAGAAGGCACCTACATTATCTCATTCGAAGATACTGCAATACTCGAGGTGCTGAAAAGTGGTACTGCACCATATGAGAATGCAAGCACAATGTTAAATATTGTTAGCCAATGCTTTGTGTCAACGGAATTTGAACCCATCAACAACTATTGGGTTTTTACCTTTCTCTCTAAGCATTGATTCGTACTGGATATTCTACATGATAAAACAAAAGAGAAAAGAACACAAATAATGGAATTGAAAGTTTCGAAAAAAGAAAACAAGTTTTGGATTATACCCCCACTCCAATACTGACTGATTTACTTTCCTCTATTTACGTTTTTAGGTGAGTAGTGGGGGGGGGGTACGCCGGACGGAATTTCAGGTACAAAATTTGGTCATGGGACGCAACTCGAGGGTCCCATTAAAAGAACCGGGTCGCCGGTGCACTTACTGGCAACCAGATGGAACTCGTGTAGACCCATATGTGAATAAGACCTCCGGTTGAAAGTTTAATTTGTTTATCGTTTTTTTGATAACCAAAAAAATCTGATGTATTTTGTCGTTCGAAAGTAATGTTATTATACGCCCTAAGTGAAATATAATGGATCAAACCGTGCTGTTTGGGTCGGATCTTTCCTGCACAGATGAGAGGTAATACCTCGAAACCGGTCTGCATGTGATCTACTCGATTGATTTCAACATGGTCCCGCTGCTGGATGAACGACAAACATCTGCGAAACCAATCTCTATGAGATATCTTGCATAAATGCAGAATGATTCAATGTCCAGCGTGATATTAAACGGAGAAGTAGTCGTTTTCCGGCAGGCATTAACGGGAACCTACGATTTAGGTAGTTGGGAGAGATACATCTTTCGAGATGTTGTTTCGAAATATTCATTTTCTAGTACGTATATATCTGTCCTCGATACAGTAAATATTCAGACAGGGTTTGATCTCTGTTAGAGTATTGGTACATGGGATGTTTCTTGTCATACAAAATGACATATAGGTATTTCAATGTATACATTTGTTTATAATGAACAAATAATTGAAAATTAAAAAAAAAGTTTTTTTTTTAATACAAACGATATCAGGCAAAAACCGAACATCTGTTTTTTCACTTAACGGTTTATAAATTTTTAGCCTTTTGTTAGCGCAAATCTGTGTGAAATTATAAAGTAAATGACAAGTCAATCATAATTTTCGAAGAAGACGAACAAAAATTGTTAAGCTCATCACAGCCAATGTTTGACGTTGATGAAAAATAAAAAATTGTATTACATATTTTCGAGATATGTAAACTTTTGGTTAACTTCTGATATCATAGAAAAAATAACTTTTATTCATAGGGTAGTGCTGGAAGCCAGCAAACCTGTTTATCTAGTCACGGAATTTGAGGCTCCCCAAGACAGTCAGCTGAAAGGACGACGAGGTTCGTCTTCTGTTTTACACTGCAGCTTTCACTGCAAGGCAATCAGTTGGAAAATAGATCCCAGACACAAAGCATTTATGATCCAACACCCGAGAGCGATATTTCGACCCGCCATAGGTCTCATCAGTGGTGTTAAGCTGAACCACAAGTGCATGCCGCCCTGGAGTTGAGTGCCCTGAGAGAAAATCTTCCCCACACTGTTTTGTGTGTGTGTCATCCACACACTTCCGAGTGGTTGACAGATTGCCATTAGTTCCGCATAAAGCACTGGAAATATTCTGAAGATGGTTTCTTACATGAGAGATATTGTGGACGCTAAAAACTATAAAACTTTTGGTAACTTCTGATATCATAGAAAAAATAACTGTGTTGAAAAAAAAAGAGTTTAAAGTACTTTTATTCATAGGGTAGTGTTGGATGCCAGCAAACCTGTTTATCTAGTTACGGAATTTGACCTTCCTTACTACGTATTATAAAAAAATAATCAGATAATTTTAAAGCGATACACAAAACTACGTCATCAACTATTTCAACTTTCCATAATATTGATAATATTGGTGATTGTAATATTATTGAAGTATAAACAAATCAATATTTAACCAGATTTCATTCGAATGAGATGTCCTCGGTCTGAGGATTTCAATGCCAAAATTAGAAAACGATCGCTTGAACAAAAATATCGCTTTGAAATTCCCACCAAACGTTTAACTTACGCAGAAAGGCCAACATTTTCTTAAAAATAAAATTCACAAAATTTCTAGTTCAAAGTCAGAATTTACCAATATTCCTAAGTTAAAGTCAAATTTCATCAAAATAATTTTGATAAATTCAGACTTCTACTCGGAATTTTGTTAAACTTCAACTTCATTCTGAAAAATTTGTTGAATTTTTGAGCTTATACTCTTAATTGTGGCCAACTTTTCTGTACCTTCTTTTAAAATAAAAAATCCATAGAACTTTAAATCAATTTTCAAATTAAATAAGGGCGATAACACCTCCCTTTACGAAGACGTCATCTCTGGGATCAACAGAGAACTCAATCCTCGAGTCAGAGGTAAACGAGGCTCCCCAAGGAAGTAAGCTGCAAAGACGACGAGGTACGTCTTCTGTTTTACACTGCAGCTTTCACTGCAAGGCAATCAGTTGAAAAATAGATCCCAGACACAAAGCATTTATGATCCAACACCCGAGAGCGATGTTTTAACCCGCCATAGGTCTCATCAGTGGTGTTAGGCTGAACCACAAGTGCATTCCGCCCTGGAGTTGAGTGCCCTGAGACAAAATCTTCCCCACACTGTTTTTGTGGTCCTCAACTTGCTGCTTGGCACTTCAGCAAGATTGAAGATTGATCTTTTATGGTCAAAATATTTGTAAAACCTTACTCTACTGTGTGCAGTTGGCGCATGGTGGTCCTCTGTACCTAACTAGAGACGGGTGGTCTGTGTCGCTGACAAATGTGTGTTATTTAGAACCGTGATTTAGAATGTGTGTGTGTCTGTGAAAATGAAAAAAAATCATACTTACTGGAGCCGCCAAACGACAACTCGCAGAGGTCGTCTCTGATTCAGCTTTATCGTCCTCATACGCTTATCCCTCTCGCGGAATCTGGAGTCGTTCCTGTTCAGTGCCTCGTTAAGATCACGCAGCTTTGGGGTGAAATAAATATGTCCGGATACTCTCGAAGATGTTTGCGACGTGGTTTCTCAAGAGTGCATTCACTTAGTGGGTGCTAAGATCCAGGTCCCGGTAAATGAATCGGTTGGGTATGTATCTGGGCGCGTTTATGGCCGACGACAAGTTCATAAACTTTCAGAGTTGGCGCCTGTATCTTTCTTAACACTGGCCCCAGACAGTGGGGCACCCGGCGATTTCGAAAAAATTTTTGAGTGTACTTACAATTTTGATGCGTAGATTACGAATCCGAAAGAAAAAGGCGGCGTTCTCCCGTATTTACAAAATTACGCCCCTTCACAGTTCAGAAATGGGCAACTTTTCAGCCTTCTTTTTCACAAGATAAACTATTCATAAACACATGCATTTATTCACTAAGCCACCTTTACACCTTATTCCTCCTCAATTGACACTTTACAATTCAACAATCAACATTTTTCTTATAAAAAACTTAATTCAAAAACGAATGCTTCTTCTGGTGACATTCTTCTATTTCTAGGTTAGTTACTAGTGACATTTCAGAAAAAAAGGTTGGTATTTGCCGCGTACGATTTCAAATTCGTAGATTTGGATTTTTAATTTGAGGTTAGTGATTAGAAAAAGACAAAGAATGAAGGCAAAAAACAATTGAATTACTTTAAGAATATTGTACCAACTATGCCATTAACCTTTAAAACGTAAAATACAGAGATATATAACCAAAAAGCAGCTCCATACATTTTTTAACATTTTTATTGGAAAAATGTTGATTGTTGAAGTGAAAAGTGTCAAGGAAGGAGGAATAAGGTGTAAAGGTGACCTAGTGAATAAATGCTTGTGTTTTTAAATAGTTATCTTGTGAAAAAGAAGACTGAAAAGTTGCACTTTTCTGAACTTTGAAGGGCCGTAACTTTGTAAATAAGGGAGAGTGCCGCTTTCTTCTTTCGGATTCGTAATCTACGCAACAAAATACGTAAGTACATCAAAAATTTTTCCCCAAATCGCCGGGTGCCTTCAAAACGAATATTTACCCATATCTGCTGTGTGCCTGATTCTCAAGTATTTTCAGTATGACGCGTTCTGGCACTTTGCTCATCAATGGGGCCACGCTTATTGGCCGATGATTGTCAAGGAAAGTGAGGTTCTTGTCATAATGACCGTGACCTTAATAAACTGGTAAAGGAAGTATAGCGGTAAGGTTGTTCGTAATTGCCGCTATACTCTTTCTGGGTAGGGCTTTCAGCCCCGGTTTGGGGGCTTACCGAGCAGCAAGGCATCTCACGATGCCTTTGACTTCCTCGGGAGATGTGGGATTCGTTGGTTGAGCGTCGTCCCTTCGCTGTCGTCTCAATTTGCGCATCATCTGTTCAACTTGTTGCTCGACGTTTTCCACCTTGTCTCTGATGGAGACATAATTTTCTCTACGATAAGTTGCTCACCGTGTAATGGTGAGCATAGTTTTGGCGGTCCTTCCTCAGCACTCTGCATTTTCTATGCAGACTGGTCTTCGATATTGACACAAATGAATTGCTGGAGTCAACTGTCCTCAAAGTCTGAGTAAATTAAAGTGATAACCATCTCTCTTCACGAAGACGCCATCACTGAGATCGACGGAGAACTCAGTCCTCGAATATCAAATATAAACCCACGCCTAGCACCACTGATGATCATGTTTCACTTGATTCTGTTTAGAGAGCTGAAATTTTGTATGTAGTATATGTGTTCGTTTTATGTTGAAGATGTGCAATAAAGAAAGATTCTCAAGTATTCCAACTGGGGATCCCCCACTGGGGATAAAAAGGGCGCGTTTACAAATGAAAATTACCTTTTCATCAGTTTCTCCGTAGCTCTACATTTTCGGAGGCTGTAATTTTGTATGTAGGTTCGTTTTATATTGTAGATGTTCAATAAGACAGGATCATTAAATATTTCAAACTGAGACACCAGCCGTGTGGAAAAAAGTGCGTCCATAAAACAAAATTATCTTTTCATCACTGTTTCTCCATAACCTTGAATTTCCGATGGGTGAATTTATATTTGTATCAGCATTACATCCGTGCGGAGCCAGGGCGGTTCGCTAATTATTCTATAATAACAGTGGATGAGGAATGAAGTACTTTCTGGTTTAATAATCGTGAGAGCGTGCTGACTGGTAAATAACTAATAAAAATAAGTAACTGTGATATCAAGTTTGATGATTGAATATTTACATTTGTTATAATATTTTTCTACACAAGTTCCCATGTATTTAAAAGGATTTTTTTAATATTCAATATCGTGGGATATTAAAATTTAATTATACCTACTTCGAATGAACATGATTTGAATTGAACATATATTGAATGAATAATACTTGATAGATTATCATTTGCATTCGTAACTGGTTTTTTTGGTAAACTTTTTTTTAGTATCATCGGCAGTTCGAAGGTTGACAGGTTGCCATTAGCTCCGCACAAAGCACCGGAAATATTCTGAAGGTGGTTTCTTACATGAGAGATATTGTGGACGCTAAAAACTATTTTCATCCCTCTCCATACAGGTTTTTTCCAAAAGTATTTCACGAATTATATTTTTTCTTTTGCGCAATAGAACATTATTTTTATCTAACCGATAAAACAGTCATGCACGTAGATTAACGGTAATTATCGTCTTCGGGCACTGAAGATCAATTAACAAATTAAAGAAATGTATATTACCTTGGGAGATATCATCTTGCATTTCATTCCCAGTTTTTTACATTGCTATGCGTAATGTACGTGAGAAATATATTTAAAATTACAATTAACGTCAGCATCTACATTTGACAAAATTTGCACGTCTCGTGAAAAACCCACATTGAAAGTTTTTTGACCTTCTTCGGATTGATGTCTAGAGTTCGTTTCGATTATTTTGTTCATAAGTTTCCGAACTACCGTTGGAAGTTTTTTAAGGAGTTTGCAAAATCTCAAGATTTTGATAAAAATCACGTGATCTAAAAGTGTATGTCTTATCTTCGTATCTGACTCTCCATCAAAAGATTATTGAGTAAATCCTTATAATGTCAACTTCGTTGATTCTACAACCACGCAAATAATTCTGCAGTTTCGTTTCATGAACAATGTTTCCAATTTCCACATAGTGGTGAATAAGTAGTATAACTTTTACTGAATATTTGTTGACATTGATAAATATTTCATTATATTTCTGAATTTCTTAGTAAATTGCAATTGTTACAAGTGATATCTTACGTATGCCATAAAATAGTTGTATGATTCATGTATAAAAATGTCATTTAGGTTATAGAACAGTTTAACTTGTGATCCAACCAGACACCGCTGTTTCGATCCGCCAAAGTTTTATCAGTGGTGCTAGACTAAACAACTGAACTGTCCAAAAAAAGCCTCGGGGAGCCTCGAGGATTGAGTCCTCTCTGTCGATCCCAGAGATGGCGTCTTCGTAAACGCAGTTGTGATCGTCTTTACTGTCATAGACCAGTACAGAAACCTGATAGAAACGAAACCCAGGAAATAAGTTACACCGCTTCCAGGTTCCGTATTACTTATATCTATATATGCTCAAGTTCAGGTGAAAACACCTCACCCTTGCCTCTCATGTGAACCTGCGACTTTGTAAATATGTGTGGCAGATATCCAACGAAAAAAAAAAACAATTAACCCAGCTAATGCCGCTCAGAAAGCTGAAGTGAGACATGTGCAACGTTTTCCATTTGAAAGATTCGTTGCAAGTAACTTCCTATATATGAAAATCAGAAATTAATTTCATTTTGTCGGAACGACTACCGATAGACCGAATTCGGAGTACTAGCTCCTCGTCAGTACCAGGAGAGTCTCTTCAGACGGGGTGAACCGTCGGAATAACCTGAACAAAATGATTTTTTTCCTTATTTGAACAATGTTGGAATGTCAGTGGAAGCAACTTAAAATAACGAAAATAACTTAGATAGGAGTCAATAGTGCAGTATGATAATGTGAAAGAACGATCTTCTACATCATAGAGCAAAACACGTCTACAAATTGAACCTAAGAGGATCTGAGAGACAACTATTTTATGTTAACATTTTCCGACCTTTTTGTTTCATTGTTTCACGATAACAGTATGATAAATTTAATACATTCTGATTGAGTTTATTGATAATATAAACAAATAAACTGAACAACATATCCTTTAAAATTTGATTATTCATGAGCTCTCATACTTCACGAATTTATTATAGAATCGATGTAGTCTTTAAATTCGGTTAATTTTGTGAAAATTCCAGGTTTCCCAGCCTTTGCGCATACGTCTCCCCAAGAAGTAATTCCAATTTGAATTCCAGTAACAACTAAGGGGCCACCAGAATCACCCTGAAAATAAAATAATTCGTTAAGTCATTATAATCAGAAAGAATGAAATAATCGAAACTATTTGATTGAAACGATACCTGCCATTTTTTAAAAAAACTGCCGGTTTTTTGTTTTTCACCTTTTCAACTAAAAGTCAACAATAGTGGTTAATATTTTAATAAGTGACCGAAGGGATGCTATACAGTTGTCTAAATCAGGTAAACATTTTATGAAAATGGAAAGAACTACAATATTTGTTTGGTCCCAAAATAGACTTGAAGACTAAATAAAAGATAACGTTGGATATTGAAATGCATACAAATTCAATTTAGCACGGAATATTTATGAAAATCGGAACATCTCATATCATTCTGGAATGATCAAGGCAGTAATGCAGTGTGATAGCCTATCCCTCATCTGTGAATTGTTGTAATATTTGAAGATCTTCTGCTCTTAAAAGTAATATGTACTTTCATTTTTATTCAAATCCTTATTATCATTTCACTATAGAAACAGATTTCCACAAAAAAGGCAGATTATGATAGTTTTTTTCACAATGAAAACAAAGCACAGAAATCAGCATTGTTCTGCTAAGTCAAATATTATGAATGATTTTACCTCACATGTGTCTTTTCCACCCTCATCATATCCAGCACACATCATTCGATCTGTAATTGATGCATCATCGTAATATGTTTTGCAACTTTCTGTAGTGATAGTAGGCAATGTAACAACTTGAAGCTGATTGGCTGCTGGTCCTCCGTCTAGCAATCTTCCCCAACCCGTTGCTATAGCTGACACTCCATTAGGAATTATGGTACCTGACGAGGCTATTGCCACTGGTTGAACTCCAGGACCAAATGTAAGTTCGGTTCGTAACTTCAGCAATGCTATATCGAAATCGAAAGTACTCAAGTCGAACAAGGGATGCTTATAAATTTTCGAAACAGCATAAACTTCTCCGTCGCTGTTTCGATAAGATGAACCAACTCTTACACTGATCTGTTCAGAATTGACACTGAAAAAAAATATATATTGATGTGTATCACAGAATCGATGAACACTACTTTCAAAGAACAAATTTGAGGCGATACGGATCAGTTTAATCATAGACATTCCATTAGAAAAACTCATCGAGCCTTTTTTTTAAATACTATTTATAAAAGAAAAATTACAACGTCGGGAGTATTGAACTCAAAAATTAAGAAACATATGAAAAACGTGACTTGGAAAAACCAAATGATTGATATATGAGAAACATATAGCGCGATGACCGTCAAGCGAGTGTGCTATGAAACACCTATCCTGTTATGCTTTATAACAAAACAGGATTCTGTGTTTGTAGGTACGGTGAAACTCTAACTTTCTTGGTAATATCGGTTTAGATTTTCATCAGCCCAAAAATGCGTCTTATTGTGTCGATTGAATAATACATTTTTGGTGAACTTAGCTTCATCATTCCATATATTTTTTTTAATGAGAGTCCACTAGAAAATTGCGTCGGGAGTTCACAGACAATTTAAAAAACTGTTAATGAACTTGTGTTATTCAATTTACGGACCCAAAGTTTTCAGTATTCTCCATTTTCTCCATAACAGAAGCAGATATGCATGAAGTTTGACCGAAACCCATTTTTAAACTGATAGCAAGCATCTATAGAGTTCCCTGTGGGCTCTTGGACTAACAGCGGTCAATTTCCCAGCGCTGATATTATTCAATGACAGAGACCAAAAATTTACTAGTGTGTGGCTAGCCTAATGATATTTGTCATAATCACAAACGTCAATACGTATTTGAATTGCAGTTAACAATTTATACTTACTCGAATATGCAATGCGCTGCGGTCAAAATGAACAAAGGATTCAAAATAGACCCCCCACATCCATGTCTACCATAAAACTGAAGAGAAATCTGATATGGATAATCCTCAATGCTGGCATTGGAGCCACCAACAATTTTAAGAGTTGGTCTAATATTCGCAGAGTAGACTGTAAAAAAATGAAGACTAATCAGAAACTACTACTCACAACTACTCATCACAATAATAATAAAATATTAAGGCATTCGATATAACATGAGCTCATTTTGCATTTTCTTACAGATAACGAAATGATAATCATATAATGGGCTAAATTTAATGTCGAAGGAGAGTAGAATTTCTAAAAAAATGATAATGAATAAATCAGATATTTCGCCATTATAAACTGATTAAAATATCGTATCGTGAAATATCATGTTCGCATTGGAAATCATGTGAATCAATCTATGGAATCATCATCAATATCCTCCCATAATTCACATCCAGAGCAATTTTCCATAGATTTTGATAATGTAGATCACTAATGGAATCATTATTGTAATCGTGTTATCATCAAATGAAGAGTTTGAAAACTCCCCTTGAATGCTTTTTTCTTAACTAGTCAATAGTATAAGTCCTTTTCAAGTTTAATCATAAATTTCATGTAACCTTTCATTTTTTATGATTGAAAAACTCATACACTATTCTGCATTTGACACATATTTTTTTAAATATAATATAAACTTCTTTCGGTAATATTTCTGATTGAGTTTATTGATAATATAAACAAGTAACAGAACAACATATCCTTTAAAATTTGAAATCTAAGAATCTCAAATTGAAATTCCCAATTTCTGCGTTAAACTCTGAATTCATATTTTGATATTAGAATTATGTGGAGTAAATATCGAATATGAATAATTTATATCACGGGTCTCATAAGATGAACACTATTCACCAATCTAAAGAAATTTACGGATGATGAAAGCTCGCATGGGTCTGTGGTATATTGAGTTAGTCGCTTATGAACAATAGGAGAAACTGTCTCACATTTCAGTAAATAGACGAATAGAGGACGCCACGATCAGCTCAAATATTGTTCAAGAAACAATGAAAACTTCGAAAGGGAAAGAATGAATACTCACCTACGCCAAATAGGAGTAGAAACACATAGGTTTGTGAGAAACTCATGATCAAGTAAGTAATCATAAGTAAGTTATTATATATATACCCAAATTTGTTAGTAATCGTTATCACAAGATCAAAATAAATAATAACGAAATTATACAGTTGTCAAATGATGCCTACCAAGTGATACACAAATAAAAATTTGTGTTGATTAGATAGGTAGACAAATTCCATTAAACGTAAAATGAATTTGATGAAGACAGAATTAAAAACAACATAATGAAACTTTGTTCTTGTGGGAACTGAAAATTTCAAGTCGTTACTGTCATCACCTTGTTGGAATGCGTTATCAGGCGGAGAACTTTGTGGAGCCGACGTTAATTGAAAAAGTTTATTTATTCATTGAACCTTTTATTTTTCATTATCAATTATTGGATTGAATAGGATAAAACGTAAGTAACCCTATTCAGTAATATATACATTTGGATATCGCTTCGATACCATTCCCCATACTGTCGGAAAGTGATTATTGGTTCCAAGAATTATGAGCCTTAAGTGAACATAATGAGTGAAATATAATAATGTTGTGCTGATATTACTAGACTATCTATTTTTCTTCCAAATCCAATCCAAACCTGTCGTTTTTAGAATGTCTGCATTACTTTTAAAGCTCGAATAAATCATTCTGATTGAAGGTATAAAATCTGACAGATCAGTACATATTGCGTAATGATTACTATTATTTCCACCATATTTTTAAGAAGATAAATTATAATTTGAGTTACTACCAACCAAATCCGTACATAAATTTGAAATAAGAATACACTGTCTGTCGTTTTGAATATACAGAAGAAGTATAAAACTAGCGACTTTTTTATGGGACATTACGTTGATGTAATTAAATCACCTTACCTTAATCTGACACGCTCGAGAATTTCTGATGATCAATTTTTTTTTACTAATCTGATCCTTTATCCTTCACGGGCGGCCTTATATATGGGGCTCATATTTGGTGGAGGTGCTTAACCCGGTACAAGGTATCCCCCTGTAAATTAATCTGCTGCACTTTAGTAAATCCCGAAATCCCCGCTTGGGCTCCACTATTATTAGGCTCACACTAGTGAATAGGAAGTTCATATCTAACTGCTTCGACTCTTTATTAGATTTTATCTTGGAAATATTCTCTTGACAGCGATTTGTGTTTTTGTGGAGTATCAAAGGTTCACTTCTTTGAAAGAAGAAAATGAAAATATTTGACTGTTTGTATACGTTCCAACAATAAGTTTGGGATAACTCTCAGAAAATAAAGTAGGTGTCATCAGAATATCACAAAAATGTCCTTTTTATCCATTTACTTCGACATATTTTTCACATATACAAGAAACAGTATCACCCTTTCATTAGCTTCACCTCTATGTATGTATGTACGTTTGTTTGTTTGTAACTCTCAAGCTCGGGATCTGTATTTGACAGAATTATCGACATTATTAGATATCAAAATATTATTATTGATGTTTCACATCTGCCAGGCGTCCCGTGACGGCTCATAATTTTTTTTGTTTAAAGATGAAGCAGAAAACCTAAACCTTTCTTTCCCATCAATTTCAACTTTTTAATTAGTAGATACTTATCTTTGTACAAGTTTCATTCTTCGTACTCTACTTGTTGAATGATCAGAGTCAGACAGTAAACTACATATGCCGAAATAGTTCAGCTTGTTGAGTAAAATTTCATGAGAAACTGTGTCATTTTTTCTTCGATAAATTGTATCTCAAAATATTCTAGGAGATTATACGTTTTGGAAGGCAACCAAATAAAATCATTACTCATTCTTAGATACATATATTTCCCAATCCGACTTGATTGTAAAGGATAGTTGAGGGTGTAGAAAAAGATTTGGAATGTAATTTGAATCAGAACCTGTTTTTCCTATTTTTGTTATCAGTGAATCTAATTGAGAAACAGTGAGTCAATATTTGGATTTCCCATTAATAATTAAAAATATCATCCTCAATATTCAGGTTTGATGAATGTTTACTCGATGTCAGGCAATATGTGTAGGAGCACTGACTCAGATCTTGTTGAGGTTCAATATTTTGTATAATCTCTGATCCATCCCCGGAAAACTGGAACATTAGTGTAAACACCAGGATACTTCGGGTGGGCACATCCCACTCCCCATGATACGATTCCAAAAAGTTTTCCATTCGCCATCAGTGGCCCTCCAGAATCTCCCTGGAACGTAAATATTATATTATCTGTTAAATGAGAGGTATTGAAGAATATTATATGAAACGTGGTGAATAAACCAGGTTTTTCGAGATCATCTTCAATATTTACGATTCTCATGCCACGCGATAGCTGATATAGAATAATATACTGCAGATTTTTTTTAATATAAATTACAAATATATTGATACAGTTATCTCAAAGTTGCGATTTCGATCCATACTTTTCATAAAAGAGGATGTATGCTTCTCCACCCACAAGCAGAAATTATATCATAAAATTCTGATTCCAACGGTGGTATTCGGTGGCAGGTTGAGCCAGTAATTTTATGGAAGGTTTCAAAAACCCTAGGATCGTTCATTTTCACTGTATTGAAAACATATTAAAATCAACTATAATATCCTTTTTGAAATTATCTCATTTTTGTAAAATTTTCTTTATGGAATACTTTGGGCAAATGATACTAGCACTATTCCACATTATTTTTCATCCAGATGGGGTATCATCCCATAACGAAATAATAGTTTGTAATTTTAGAATAGACACGTTCTGATCAAACAGATATCAACTCAAGGAGTTGAGAGAGTAAGTTTTCCAAACCTCACTTCATTTGATTTTTTTTCTGGGGTACTTGAAAGATCGCGTTCGTCGAAATAAGTATCAAAATATTCTTATCAAAACACTGAAATCATCTAGTGTTCTTCATAAAATTTTTGTAGGGAGTTTGATAGGAAATATCTTCAATATGATAACTCAACAACTATTTTTTTTGTTTCAAAATAACTCCTAAAAATTGATTACCAACCCACCTGACAAGCATCCTTTGCTCCTTTACCAACATATCCAGCACAGAACATATTGCTGGTTATGTACTCACCTCCATAGACTGAAAGGCAAGATTTCTGACTCAGAATAGGGATATCTACTTGCTGCAAAATTTTTGACACAGCCTTGTCAGTTTCCTAGAAAAACGTTAGTTCAGTTATTGAAACTGTTACAGCTATATCACGAAATGAGTAAATGAATTCAATAGGACCAAATTATCTAAATGAACAATCCGTTCAGGATAGTCTCAAACCACCTACACCATAAGTTAATGGACCGACACCCATCAGAAAACATCTACTCCCCTGGCTAATACCAAGAAGGGCGTTGAATTATATCCGACAGGTGTCAGTGTAGGATTTTTCACAGAAGTAATTCCTGCAAATGCTGTTTGCGATACAACTGCCGAAATCGTTTTTCAATTATTGGAACGACACACTTTCAGGGAAATCATAGACTCAATGTTGATGATGGACACTACTTTAAACTGACAAGAGACCAAATAGCTCGTAACCGGTCTGCAAGTGGTTTCCAATAATTGAAAATCTATTGCGGCAGTTGTATCGCCAACAGCACATGCAGGAATAACTTCAGTGAAGAATTCTGCACTGATGTCTGTGGGATATAATCCAATACCCTTCGTGGTATTAGCCAGGGGAGAAATTGTTTTCTGAAAGGTCTCAGTCCATTAACCTACAGTGTAGATGATTTGAGAATGGCCTAAACGAATTGTTCATTTGAATAATTTGATTTACAGCCAGTCTTCAAGTATGCCCCTCATTACTTTGTGTAAGAACTCATTATGTAGTAAAAGGTTATATAGATATCAATTATGAAAATTTTGCAATTTTTCACAATTTTTATATTGAACATGTCACACACTCTCAAACACTGAATAGGTTGATGGTGGTACATATTGGAGGAGTTTATTGATTATCTGTATCAAAAATGCAAAAATAAAACTGAATGAAAATTATGCTAAAACATTTTGTTTTTTGTCCACGGGACGATTTTCAAACCTATAAACGAATTAGAGTAAGTGAACCCTATGAATCAAATTTTTGATGAAGGTGTCGTTTACTTTACAGTAACATGAAAGTTTCAAAATAAATTTTGATCGTATAACCAATCAAAAACTTATCACTTGTGTTGTTGGCGAGTCTGGCAAAAAATTATTTTATCATCAATTACAAAATGTATTAGTCAACTGTAACTAAGAAAACTTGAGTATCACATTATATAGAAATGCATTTGATTGATACAAAATGTTTCGTTAATCTTTGGCAGTTATCGAAACTGTCAGTGACTGTTTGTTCCTCTGCATCAAAAAGGTACTGAGATGAGCTGAATGGCTTTAGTAAGTAGTACCTACTGACGACTCGAATGCTATCAAATAGAACAACCGGGAGAAGAAATCAGATAGATTAATCGAAATATCCTCTATTTCTTCCCTAATTTCTTTCCCGCCCTTTTTTTGGGTATTTTCACGTTCCCCAGAACTTCATACAAAGGCAAACTTATTATTTTACCCCGCCAAGTTACTACGTAAAATCAAAGTACTTTTCACAAGGAAAAATGTTCTATTTATCACGTTTAAGAGGCCAAAATCTGCCTCCGTCTTCAGAAATGGACAAAAAAATTCAAATATATATGCAATTATTCTTTTGGTCATTACTAGAGTTTTTTCCCAACACCAAATCGTTATTTTTAACACCTCATGTAACACACGTGTTTCGATCACCAAGTGATCATCTTCAAAGAGGAAGATTAATCAGTTTTAATCTTCCTCTTTGAAGATGATCACTTGATGATCGAAACACGTGTCGAGGTGTTAAAAATAACGATTTGGTTTTGGGAAAAAAACTCCAGTTATATTCATTACTACATCAAAGGTTCCAAACAGTGCATCATAAATATTCCTTTGCTGATTATTTATTTACAAATTTCTTCGACAGATGTCAAAGGAGTTTTAAAATGTGTTGTTGTTGATTGACTACTGAAACATTCGATGTAATACAAGGTGCTCTCCAATATCAGTCTGTCGCCATTTCGCCAATATCCAAATTTTCCTTCAAGACGGGTAGCCAAGAACGATCTATTTCTAAGGAGCTGTTCGAAATACACTCTCCAAATATGAGAATAAACGCTGATTCTTTTAGTTTAAGTCTCTTACAGAAAGAATCAGCGTATATTATCATATCTGGAGAGAATTGTATTTCGAACAGCTCCTTAGAAATGATAGTACTTGGCTACCCTTCTTGAAAAGAAATTTGGATAGTGGCGAAATGGCAACTACTGATATCGGAAAGCACTTAGTATAACATCGAATGTTTCAGATGTTAGCCTCCGAAACGTTACGATGAGTATTGTATTATTTCTTAGCAATTTTTTTCGGGTAAACTAAAAAGTTTGCCCTTTCTACACTTGTATAAAGTTCTCTATTATAATTTTCATATTTTTCAGATTGTGTAAGGTGAAAATAGCAAAAAAAAAAGATCTGTAAAAATGATAATTAAAATCATATGAAGCATAAATTATAATTATATAGTTGGTAAACATTTTCTTTTACGATGTTGGACTTTTCAATTAGTACTTACCTAAACTCATGTAAAATTATTAGTCATTACGTAGATCATACGATTCAAATTGTTATTACATAAAGAACAAACTAAGTACAATTCAGTCAGTATAAAAACGTCAAAGGAAGCTACTATATAGCGAAACACGTGTTACAATAAAATGTTACTAGAATGTTTCAATCACATAACTTCGGACGTTTAAATTTGAAAACGCTTGATATTTTCGCAAACGAAAAAAATCAAGAATTATGGAACGTATTCAAAAAAAAAATTCGTTACCCCCATAATTGAAACAAACACATGTGAAAGGTGCAAATTACCTACAAATGAAAGGGTATACCACAAATCAATTTATGTTCAATTTTAAATTTTCATTGAAAAATTAAAGTTCATGCTTTAACATATTCGGTAGCAGGTCTTTGCGTAAAGTGTATGAACTTTTGTGGATAGTACATGCAGTATTGTGTGAGGAGAGTTTGAGTTATTGATCGGTTTTTCTAAGACGTTCAACTGTTTCTTTATAATAAAAATGATTGTTATAGTACAGCCAAAAGTGCTGAACCAGCAAAGTACTCAAACGTTGGAATGCAAGGCGCTCTACGCATGTTCGAAAAAGAAAAACTGCATTACTGGAAAATTATGTAGTGGATCGCAACAAATGTGATTTTTTCATGGAACATAGCCAATTCAGTATATCAACAGGGCTATCAGACCTAATTGTGCGAGCACAAGATGGGATAAAATCACCATGATTATTGAAAAAGACGCGAAGTTTCCATGCTCGACTCTTGGTGCTTGAAACATTATCTTCCATTTTTATCTCTTTCTAAGAATAACAATCTTAAGGTTTAAGAAATCAGAACAGTACACGCAAATCTCGAATCAAGTGATTTCTACATTGAAATAATACCTTCAAAACTCCCCATCCCGTGACGGTAGCTTTTGCTCCTGTGGGAATGGCCTCCGAACTTCCTGGAAGAGCTATCGGAAGAACTGTAGCACTAAATTTCAGAGGAGAACATAACTGAAAATTAAATTGACAATAATTTTAGACATACAATATTGTTGGTGCTGCCTACGTTACTTTTGTATCACTTCTCCAACCTGAAACACTTGTTATTTTATTAAAATTTAAGATGCTTAGCTTCAGCACGATCTTTCTGAAATGATCAATAATGAAGTTATGACTACTAAATATTTATTCATATGGATACCATCCAATATTCCTCATTCAAATCGGAAATGAATGATACATTAAAAAGCTGATTTCATTTCCAAAATAGCGAAATTAATAATCTTGCACGATATCTTGACTCACCGTTAAAATTGCGATATCATTATCCATAGTGTTTTGATCAAATTTATCGTGGATATGAATTTTACACACTTTAAAGGTTCCATCTCCTTGATTTGCGATACTGGATCCCACTCGGATTGAAAATAAAGTAGTGAGATAACTGAAACAAATATAGAAATCATATTGGAATAATTGGCTGTGAATAGAACTATTTTGTTCATGTTGTTATATGCAACTCCGATTTGATTATTATTTTATTCAATATGTATATACGTCATTAAGGTAAATCAAAACTTGTGGTTTCATCTGATGTATTTTTCAGAATAATAGAATAAAGATTATTTATTGCATTACATGCGTTATACGAATTCCTAGGTTCTGTAAGTAGACAGTTTAGATTAGCAAAATTTCTCCACCTCAATGGATCAAAAATATTTTGGTTTGAGATGAACAATAACAAAATATATTTGTTTCGCTTTTTGCTATCCCATTTTAATTTTTTTGTATTATTCCAAGTTAAAATGAATGTGTTCGAATACCCATGCATTCTTTGATTTTTTATTTAGTGAAATGATCAACATTTTCTCAAGAAGCATGATTTTTTTCATCAAACTAGAAATTTTTATTCAGGGGGACATTTCTAGAGTGTATTTTATTTTCCATGAGAATAGGTTATTTCAAAAAATATTTACAGCTACTTATGCTCCCTGAAATAATTAGAGGTTTTCAATTTCATACGAATTTATAGAACCAAAACTGAATTCGAGTGGACAATATAACTCAGGAAAGAAAATGTCAACTGATAAGCACTTCTGCTCTATGCTAGTAATGTTACGAACTGATATGAAAGAATTCCAGTTCAAATAAGGTAAAATTGATATTTAGGCCGATACAAATCATCAAATAGAGTCTAATACCAGCTAAGGACTCCAAAATAAAACATGTATTCACGTTATTGTGTACAAAGAAATCCGAACGTGAAGATTATTCGAAAAATCGATAGACATTCAAAAACACAAATAATATTTTAACCGAAAAGGAGAAAAAATTAGCATGGATTCAGTCTGGCCACCTGCATTGAAGTGTATACGAATCAATCAATCCAAACAATTAGAATGAAACCATGCCTTCCTCCGATGGGATGGAACCAGTGACTGTAATTGTGAATATTGTATCATACGCCTTTTGTCTTTGATAATCTCTGTTGCAGCTGTAGACGGAGTGAGGCAAAAAATTAACAGATCAAGGCTAACAAGGTTCTGTCCAAAGCCAGCTGAAACTAGTATATTATTATTTGAACCAAAGCTGTTGTGTTGAACATCATTTCAGTAGAAAAGTTCAATATATTTGGTAGTAGCTCCTTTCTAACCATTGAGTAACAGTTTTTACTCATTATTTTTTAACTTTAAATAAAAATCAGTTTGGGAGGAATATATTTCGAAAATGAAAGACGAGAGATCTATTTCTCACTATATTCATTTATTCCAAATACTGTCCATTGTGCTCTAAGTACCAGTTAAGTCATAGAACTTCTCTTCTAATAATTTCAGAAAATTTCAGAGAAATCGACCGACATGCTCCTGCCTTCTAGGATCATAATCAGAAATAACAAGTTATATTTCACAAACAAATAATTTGAAATGTCTCCATAGTAAGATAACTGAATGGTCTTCCTTCTGTTGAATAGATGGATTACATATTTCCAAAATGCCACTTTGAGCTTCTCCATTTGCTATTTGAAGCTTCAAATTGTTTTTCATTTTGTTTTGTCTAGTTCTCATGCTATGGGAAAAGCCGTCAATACTTTATCGCTGTTCAGTAATTTATCTAATATAAACCTTCGGTCGGTTGCTTAGGACATATTATGGAAAGTGTTTAGTGAACGTGTGAAATCAAACTCTCATAACACATACTCATACTCATACTTACCCATGAACACAATGAGCAGCAGTCAATATATAATTTGTGTGAAATATGGATCCGCCACATACGTGTGATAAACCTCTCAGCAGAGATACTTGGTAAGGAAAGCTGGTTATATTCGCATCTTTTCCACCAACTATACGCCCATCTAATTGGGGAATAAATGCTGAAAAGTAGAAAAGTCAGATATTGTCGCCAATTATTAGTATTCTTGATACAAACTTAGATTCAGTACAAGTTATTTTGAAACACACTTGAAATTGAAGTGAATTCAGACGTTCAATATTACAACAGAGAACCATAAATATCACATTTCGCTCATTTATTGAATTAACAGGGTGGATAGTATAGCCATATCAATAAAAATAATCATTTTTGTAAACACATTGTTAATAATATCATTAAATGAAGAATACCTTTTGATTTCAGTGAACATCATTTTTTGTTAAAACATTATGATATGACATAGGATTGATTATTCACATTTTATCTTCAATCGAGGACCGCCTGCCCCGTACTGTCGATGCCCAATACGCTGAAACAGCTGTCTACCGGTGGCTCTTAATTTGAAATCAGTATGAAAATGATCAGAATAGCACTTATTGACGAATTGAAAATAATGTATTTGAGTGAATGAAGGATTTGTAATAATATAATCGTAAGATTATCTTTGTTTCTTGCTCTGTCTATAGTCTATATCATGTAAAATGGTTGTATCTTCCTTACCAACATCTAATCTCATAACCTGTTGATCATTTCAACAAATACCTTGAAATGATTTATGATTCCATTATTCTCACTGAAATATTTCACCATTTGTAAAATGATAACTTATATATATATAACTTGATCCCTTTTATTTGAAGATTGATCTCACAAATAATATATTTTAACGTGTTTTGACATTGCATCTGATAGAACTGATTGTATGATTGTATAAATATATTTCCAAAAGATAAGATTATTCAGAAATTCATTCCATTGTGTGTACTTCGTCACTGAATCTCTCAACAACAATTTTTTTGCTGCCGTTTCTCACTAGATGAATTTTTTAAACTTCATCGAGAACCGACGGAAAGATCAACTCGATTTCAAAAAATATTTCAGCAAGTGCAGACTTGGCATTTGATTTCCGAACATAGTGTCACATTGAGCTTCCGTCAGAAATTTGATATGGGGGAGTGTGGCCTAAAAAATTGTTTCATATGAATGTTTCAGATACCAATGCAGTGGATATTTTTTGAAATATTGTACAATATATAGGGTACCTAATAGAAGCGTAGAATATCATGGTTAGGTTTTTCAAAAAAAGAAATATAGTCTGATTCAGAAATTTTAGAAATCATTGTACATATTGTACTGAAAAAGTACAAATATTCGATATATTCGAAAAACTACTTATACATGAATATTTTTGAGGTTTTTATAGCCAAAATACACCTTGACAGGTATAACACATTTTCTCTTTGAGGGTATTATGCACCCGAACTCTCAATGAACCATTTTTGAATTTCAATAATGTTTTTCACAATAAATGATTGGGCTATATGTATCTGGCTTTTTATTCCAGTTTGTATCTGAAAGTTACTTCTTTGCATGAATTACACATCTTAGTATGAAATTCATTTTATCGATAACTCGATAGCTTCAATTGGCTTGAAATCATGATTGACAATATATCTATTTTCTTCCAATGTTCTGATCATTGTTGACAAATAATCCCAATCAATGATTCAATGCTTGAAGTTTCATTCAAATTCTTTGAGCATTGTCTTTCAATAATACCGAAATATATAGGTATAACTGGTTGCGAAAAATGATCAGTTGCTTCTACAGGCATAAATTAAAATTATTGTTGATTTCCATTGAGTTTCGTTACGAACCTCCCTGTGAGATTCATATTCATCTTTTCATTATATGATTATTGAATATAGTTAATTTATTGAAATTACTGATTGTATACTATTTCATTGGTCACTTCATTTCCAACACAGACTCTACAATGGGAAAGTGGAAAAATTAAGATACTTGAATATAGCATCAATCTTCTAATAAGCAGCGAATACTCAGTTTCGTTTCTCTATTTTATTCTCTTAATGACTACCATGATCTACAATTAATTTTTACACGAAAGTTGTTGAGAATGGTTCGACCGTCATTGAAATAGTGATAATGATTTTATTATATAAAAAGTAGTCATCCGCCTACCTTCAATAGTCACTGTTCCCAATATTATTATTGGCAATAATATGGATTTCCGCATAATTATATAATTAGATATCAATAAACAGGAACTACTAAGAGAAACACAGGTGATATCCTCTTTATGAAACCAAACTGAAACTGTTTCGTAAAGGGTACGTTTCATTGTTATCATAAATAAATATTCTGCGCTGAATGATAGAGGCATAAATCTTGTGATATTAAAAATGAGTCAGTCAGAGATAAATCATGCTTCCACATTTTCGTCATAGCAGGTATACATACTTAGCAGAATTCTAAAAATTAATTTACAAAAGATTCAGTGAGAATATTATGGTTCGAATGATATTCAGAATTTCTTTCGCTCAATTTATTTAATTTCCATTCTCATTTCAAAATCACATCATTCAATTCTTTGTAGGTATAAAAAATCTGCGAATTCATAGCCTTTGAATTTGTCTCGAAAGTATTATAACCGATCTATTGAGAAATTATCTTATATTTTATGAGTTGGTAAATTATCAACCCATACAGAGCATCATCCAATAGGGTCAGGTCAGGTCAGGCCTGGTCTGGTCTGGTCTGGTCTGGTCTGGTCTGGTCAACTAGTCGCAATGGATTCCTGACTGCCGAATTAGTCTAAAAAAGTGGTTTTCCGGAAAATCCGCGTTCCAAAATTTTTCCGGAAAATCCTCGTACCAAAATTTTTCCGTTTTTCCGCTGGGTTGGGTTGGCTTGGGTTGACCCCTTTGGGTTGGCCTGGGTTGACTCCTTTGGGTTAGGTTAGGTTAGGTTAGGTTGTCCAAACATGTTAAAACATGTTAAAACATGTTTGGACATGTTAAAACATGTTCGAACATGTTTTATGTACTGAATAGTATTTTAACATCTCTACTAAACGTGTAAGAATATCTGAAACTTTAATTTTACAAAAATATGTATTTATAAGAAGATAACAAAATGT